AAACCCAGAGCCGTTAGAACAAAGTACTCTAGAACATAAAGGCTGCACTGCAGCTGCTGTTCTGTGATAATCCTTCCGAAAACCCAAGGATGCAGGAATGACTAAACACTACCAAGAGCACAGGCTCCAAATTTTTGATTTTTTTTTCCCTAATGCCTGACACACCACCACCCAAGACCATAACCTCCATCACAAATCCAACTTCACTGTGTCTGTCATTCATGTCAGAGACCACAAAAAAATGCCTTTTGGTTTAGGAGCCTTTCTGCCATGATTAAATCTTGCTCTCCACCATACATGCTCTAATCAGGTCCAAGAGAAATGCAGGAAGGCTAAAGGGCAGGGGAGGCGAGAAGACAGTTACCACTTTACAAGGCACTCAGACCTTCACTTACGGGAGGGATTGTGTCCTGTCTATTTGTTTCTTTTCTATTTTCTTTGCTTTATGCCCCCATCCTAAACAAGATATCCTCTTTTTTGTCAGTCTGGTGGCCTTGGCAGTTTGGCACTATCAGTTCCTCTGCAGCAGACAGTTACCTTCTGGAGTGCAGCAATACTGAATTATCAGGCCAAAATCTCCACATAATCAATAAAAGGAGACTGTCAAATCAACAAAATGAGGCAAGCAGATCACAGTATTGCTTCGAATTTCTCCTGAGAAGAAACAACCCCCCCTCCACTGACTGCACAGGCAACTTGGGCACGTAGCACAGTTCCTCAGAGCCAGGCCTCTACGTTTTTAATCTTAGAACACTTATCTGAGGCACTAAAGAAGATCAGGATAATACTTCAATTGATTTCATGCCACGTGCCAAGCCAGCAGTTTTATTTCCTAGCTTGGTGGACAGCCACACCACCATTTCCTTCCAACAGCTACTGTGGAATCTCTAAGATTTCAGACTCTCATCCAAATGCTGCCATATTTATGGTAGGTCCTTAATTTCAAGTGGCTCAAAGAGGCTCTTTCTCACATATGATGACCAAGATTGCCACACTGAGTTAGACTAGGTAGTAGGAAGCATTATGGAAAGATGACAGAGAACGGGAAGCTCAAGGATTTAAGAAAATAGGGATGTGTTCCCAGGTCAGCACAGGCTCTGGTGCAAAGTGTGAAATGGGGACCACATCTATTAATTGTCAGCACTGGCTGCTGCCTTCGCTTAGCCTCATAGCCTGGCACTTCGCACTTCGGCCCATCAATCCCGCTGCACTTCCAACTCCCCTCCCTTCTGTGTCACCTGCCACGGCTAGAGAGCTGGAGAGAAAGACAAGCTCACAAGCAGATCAAGTGAAATCTATGAAGACTTAAGCAAGTCTTGTTCAGGTAAAATACTTTGTCTCAGCATTTCTGAGGATCAAACAGCGATGTCCAAATCCTAAAGAGAGGCTTTAGGATTTGTCCCACTAGAATATTATTTCCAAGCTAGTTCCTAAAGTCGTGAGTACAGGAAAAACATGGTTACCAAAAGAACCAAAGTAACCTACCAGCACATTCAACTCCTTGACATAACCCCACCTTGGGCATCTTAGGCATGAACAGATCTTTGCCATGTCTCACACCATCTCTTCCGTGCAATTTCAATTACCCCAAGGAGGGACTACATTACTCTTACAGACTATGATACTTTCAGACTGAAAACACCTTTGTCTGCTTACATTATTGCAAATACTGAATGACTGATTACGTCCTGAAATTGTAAGAAAGCATTTGAGGCCTCGGCAGCAGTTCTCCATTCTGTGCCTCGCCGAGCTGCAGCCATAGCAAGTTTTCTCCATCTGCACAGAAGTACTGTCTGAGCAGACCACTGCAACCAAAGTCCATGTTGCATTCAGTGTAACTTGTTGAATATACAGAGGTGTTATTTCACTGACAGGGCAACCTCCCGCTGGCTTTAGATAGAGGTGACACATTGAGTACCACTTACTTGCACTGTTTCATCATAAATAAAAAGAACCAAACCCTCTTTTATAACTGTGACACATTTAATTTCCTTTTCAAGTCCCTTTTAAATGTATAACAGTCCTTCATATGGCAAAATACAAAACATACAAGAAATACAGCATTATAAATGTAGAAATGCTATACCTGGAATGTGGGAGATCGGATTTTACCATCTGCAATAAATGAATCATCTGCTTCGCTCCCTGGAGTTGTACATATGTCTTTTGCACTTTTCGTACCTTAACTAAATGTTAAGTATGTGCTTGGCTTTGTGATAGAGGGTGATTTTTCTGGTAGCCAATAGGCATAGAAGATTCTTCACCCTAAGCTACCCTGCCCCTTAACCCTTTATGCTAAATCTTGGGCTGAAAACCCCTTCCAAGAGTTACACTCATCTCTTGTAAGAGGACAGAAGGCTAAGAACTCAATACAGTGAGACAGCCCTTCTCAGACAACAGATGGCAGACTGGAGAAGTGGGTCAGTAGCTTATTAAAAGAGATAGCCCGCTCCTTCTTCATTCCTTCCCTTATGCACCAGCCTGTCTCCCCACAGTCTTGTGGCAGCTCTCTAGTCACTACGCAGAAGTGACACTGCAGCATCTCTCACTGACTCCCTTCCCAGCCTCCATCTCAGCTCTTCTCCTTGGGCCAGCTGAAGCCAGAACTTGCAATAATCCCTGGGTGTCAGACCATGAGAATGTAAAATATCACTGTAAAATATCACTGTAAAATATCACAAATATCACTGTCGTTGTTCGTGGAGGGAAAAATCACTGTGCCCCAGTGCAGTCGCCTGATACCAAGTATCAGAGGGGCATGAGGCTGATATGTAACACCACAGTAAGTGTTGTGGAATCACACTTCAATCTGCACAACTTCTTTCATGTATCCAGTTGACAAACATTTATTCCCAATGAGCTGCTTCTCCTGTTCTAAGGAAACCCCGTCATGAAAGCCACGTTTCCCCAGACACCGAGCCTAAACCAGCAAGAGGCCTGTGGTCTAATTATAGACAGAATGAGTTTCTCAGGATGAGGACCTCTGCATACACCTTGTGAGTGGTCTTGAACTACTATATCATTGTTTTATTAACCTTAAAAATGCCCTGATTATAACACAGATTTATTAGAACCTCAAGTTCCCTCACTGGTAGACATGCATTCATACACGTACCTGTCTTACTTGTAACTGATGCTGACCACAGCATCGCCAAGTCATGGATCTCAGGCCAAACTTGAGATTCATTTCCCCTAAATTAAAATGCTGACATGCCCTTAACCTACTGGTTTCTTTTCACTGATAATAAAAGGAGTAAAAGGCAACACCATAGATATCTAAAGGTACATGAGATGAATGCTTTACATCACTGGTTAGGTTTGGAGTCTCTTCTGAGAGTTAGGTCCAGGAGACGGCCATGAGGCAGAGTCCAGAATGTCCTGAATCACAGAGCTGGTCACTCCTAATGTTAAATAAAGACCAAGGGCAAGAATAACTGCAGTTTTGTGAGCAACAATGTATTTATGGTAGCGCTTCTTTTTATCACATCTGTCCAAAACCTAATCACACAACAACTGCCCAAAACAATTCCCAAGGCTGTGGTTGAGATGATCTCTGATGTTTTCCACAATTTTCTAATCCAATGTAGTGTATAAGAGAGAACTGCTGAGCTGACAGTGCCCATGAATCTTACATTTTCACCCATGTCCTCCCAGCATGGATGGCACTGTTGATGCTTTGGCTGTTTTAAGGACCGCTGGCAATTAGCTACCATCACTGCTTAGGGCAGCACGCTACAAATTGCTGGCTGTGAGCAGCTTTATGAATTATCACAGATATCGTGCTATAAAGCCTAAAACCCCCTTCCTGTCTATAGGAAGAATTCTGGTCATTAACAAGAAGTTTCTGCAAATGAGAAAATCCTCTGGAGAACAAATGAATTGCAAATCTCAAGTCTGCCTAACATTTTATATACAGTACCTAACTTTCACATTCTCTCTCGTAAGTGGTATGGTACTATGATCAATATTACAAAACGCATAGGGAGGACACTGAGTGGGAAAGGAGGTTCTCAAATATTTATGGCAGAAACTCAAAAATACCTAAATTTCCAATTCTAAGACACACGCTATAACCGTTACGACACCATGCCAAGCGAAGTAATATAAAGAAGGGGTGGAAAGCCCTAAGACTCTGCTAATGGGTTTTAGCTAATTCTTAGGTTTACAACAAGTGCAGTTCAGTCAGAATGCAGTGCTAATGGCCAAATATTAACATAAGATTGATTTCAATATAAAAAAAAAACCCTTAAAGGAGTATTTTCTTTTCTAAGTAAGCTCAGCCCCATCTTTTTTTTTTAAAAAAAAACACTCACCTACCTCATTCTGAGGTTAGCAACAGCACACTAAAGAAAACAAAAATTGATGGAAACAACTGGTATTTGAGAAATGTATAGCTCAGATATCTTACATTAGTGAACTCCTTTCCATGTGGCCTAAATCATCTATGTTTTTCCTACCTGTACCAGCATTCCTTGTGCCTCCTATCTCTAATCACATGTCTCTAAATCACTAGTCAGAGCAAGAGTAAGACACAGAGAATCTCCCACCATCTCCTACAGATTTGCCCTAGCAGCGGTGAACTTGGAGACATGTTGCTGTTAACACTACCCCATTAGCGGGCTTTCCACATAAACAGCCATCAAGAAAATCCTACCATGCAAAATAGAGGAAGACTAGACAGAACTGGGATACATCATCTGTCCCATGGAAGAAAAAATCCCAGTAACTCCAATTCACACTTGCTACTGTTTCCAGTAATTTGCCTGAGACTTCTCACATGCAGTAGCATTTTATGCCTCAGGAGAAAACCAAAGAAACTCTGGAACCTGAAGACCAGGAATTTCGAAAGCTTAGGGAGGGAAGTGACAGATGAAGAAGGTAAGCTTGTGAAATAAAGGTGGAAAAGACTGGAATGAAACCACCAGAGAAGAAAGCTTTCCTGGTGCGGGGAGTGGAACTTAGCATTGGGAAGACCAAGAAGGGTGGGGAAGGTCTCAGAGAAACATTGGATTTTGTTCCCACACACCTTCAGCTCTGTGTAACTGAGGTCAGAAAACGTAGCTTACCTCGCTCACATGTTCTGCCCCAATAGCCAGTGCCAGTGCAGTCACAAATGAAGCGGTTCCAGCCATCCTTGCAGACGGCGTTGTTCTTGCACGGGTAGCTGTCGCACTGCTTGGTGCTGAGGCGGGAGCAGGAAGACTTGACTCCTGCCGCATTCTGCGCCTCTGCCAGCTGCCGAATGTTCTTGCTTCGTCCATCAATGAACAAGTCTCGGATGCAGCCGACGTAGCCATAGTTCAGCATTGCTGTCCAGAGCTCTGTGGGCAGGATGAGTCCTGCCCGGTTCTCGGGCAGGCCACCGAGGTACATGTCCCCTTCCAGATCTAGAATCTCGCTCTCCCCACTAGCGGTGAATGGGGTGCGTCTGCTGTTCACCGATATAGTACCTAAATGAGGAGAAGAGGATATCAATCAACACTTTCACTTACAGCCTCAGCCTAGTCCATTTTTTCCAACAACTGCTTGAGGTTTAAGGTTCAGTGCAGGAGAGTGAAGTTTCTTCCCTGCTCCAATACACTCCTAACCGAATCTGTGTCTCCCATACAGTTTCCCCCCTCCTCTTGAACCACAGGCCATGAGTGCTTCCATGCAGTGACTGGACCATCATGTGTCTGCACCCCATCCTGCATAATACAGTCGCAAGCATAACACCACAATGGCTAAATAACAAATCAAAACTTAGCATTACTCAATGGCATTCATCCAGCAAGGCAAAGACTTACTGAGAACATATAGGGGTTTGAATGGTATCAGGACTGGAGACGAAAAGGTAAGAGAATTAATTCACACCGCAATGCTCTTACAAAAACCACTTCATCAGTACATCCAAAGCTAGACCTAGATGATGGGACTAAATTGACCCTCTTCAAGTTTCTACATGACATCAAATTGGGGAGAAAGATTGATGCACTGGAGGAAGGACAGGGCTACCATTCAGAGAAACCTTTACAAGGTGGAGCAAAGGATTGCTAGAAATGTTTGATGTAAAACAACCACAATAAATACAGAGTCTTACACCTGGGGCAGAATAACATCACATATGAGTACAGGCTGGAAACCAACTGGGCTAAGAAGCAACTCTGCAGAAAAGGACCTGGGGATATGGCAGACAACAAATTGAACGTGAGCCAGCAACGGTCACTTGCAATGACAAGAGAGGGTGATCACACCTGCAGCAGGGGAAATTCCACCTCCATAGAAAGGAACAATTTTCACCATGAGCGTGGTCAAACATGGGAACAGGAACCTCAGAGAGGCTGTGGAATCACCATCCTTGAAGGTATTCAGACCAAAACTGGACACAGCCCTGAAGAAAACCTGATTTTGGCAGAGTTTGGACTAGAAATCTCCAGAGGTCTGTTGCAAAATAAATTATTTTATAGTTTTACAAGACAGCTAAATATTCTAACTTTCATTTTACAAATAGGACAACTGACGCAGTTGAAGACACAGGTTCTCTCTGAAGAACAGTTATTAAAACTGTAGTAACTTCCCTATGCTCTAAGCAAGATGCAGTCATACTGCACTGAAGCCATTCCTACGTATTTCAAGAAATTGTCCAAGTAGAAAACATAATGAGAACATATAAACCAGAAATATATCAGAAGTCATGAAGCAGGTGCAGAGAAGCCAAGTGCCATGTTTAAGGTCAGACAGCGCATCGAAAAAAGAACGTACTGCAGGTCTCGCATCCCAGAGCAGCGTACTCTTCAGAAGAGCATTCAGCAGCTTTTGCAGCAGGGACACCAGCCCACCAGGCACTCAGCTACAAATTCACCGTCCCTAGCTATAAATCATGGCACCCAACTGCCTCGTCATTAAGATAGTCTGTCCTCTCAGACTACTATTAAGCTTCAAGATTAAGTCCACATCACTGCTTTTTTGTCATACACCCTTATGATAAGGTGAGAACGCTTAGTTAATGGAGTTAGCTCTATTTTGTGTCTCTGCAAAACAGCACCGTTGTGTACGCGTGCTCCTTCTTCAGTCTTAAAAGGTGTCGTCTTAGAGAACAGCACGTATGACACAGAGACAAGGTATTTCATGTGTGTGACATTCAGTAATAATTTAGGGATGTCAGCAGCAGCAGAGTGTCAGAAGCAACAGAGGCGTTACAAATTAAAGGCTCAAAGAGACCCAGGGTTATTTGATGAATCATTTTGTAAAAACAAGCTGCAGGAACACAGACACTTTCCCTTTTACAAAGTGAGAAAAGAGAAGATGTGACAATACACCTACAGTAGTAAAGGCAGTGTGTCACTGAGCCAGAGGATCACAGCCCCCCTTCCAGCATCTCTGCTGCTACTCCTCAAAAGCAGCATGTGGAGTACATATTACTCAAAAAAATAGAAACACCAAAATACTGGAGGTCTGAGCTCCAGAGAGCTACTACTATGGAGAAAACAAACACCACCTACAAAAGCCTCAAAGGTAAAGAAACTCCAAAAAAGAGAAGAAATACTGGATACCAAGAGGAAGTGTAAGACCTGGAGAAGGAGTGAGGCGATGAAAGGAAATAGGCTAGACAGCAGCCTAAGCTTTCTGCCGGTGTTTTGTACCCTGCAAGTATCCCTGCCAGGGAATGGTACCAGTTGGATTCACAGCACTTCTAAAGACTGAGCTGCTGAGATGGGAAAATTCTGAATTGTCCCAGCCAAGGAGCGGTCACATGATCTGCCTTTTTTCTTTTCCTCCCAAATCCCATGTTTGCAACGATGTTTAGTTAGACCAAATCCCATTTTGCAAAATCAGAAGCCTTTAAGCACCTTCTTTCCAATCCCTTAGGTAGTTTGTGCAAGGCTAAAGAACAAACAGACCCAAAATCCCCAGAGCATTTTGGGAAGAGCTGGTACACAAAGCAGTCCACTGATGCAACTGTAGACCAAACCTTCCAGTAAGATTTTTAGCGACCGACTGGGTGGGACAACATGGGTCTCCGGCAGCTGATGACCAGCTGAAAACGCTGTCTTGCGTAATGCACTCAGCGTTCCCCACCTCGAAACCGTGACAGGTTTTGCAGACGCCCTGCAGGAGCTTTCCCCAAGGACTGAAAGGTTACAGGATGCTGAGTGTCCATGTCCATGCCTGTCAGCTTCTGCCCAAGTGCAGAGGAAAGCAGCTTCTGTTGCTCTGGAAGCCAGCACCGACCAAAGCATAGACAAAGCCTGAGGGAACTAGAGGTGCCACAGGTGACGTGAGCTCGAGCACCGTGCTTCCCCAGCATTTGTGCTCCTGCCTTAGTACCTCGCCGTAGCGAATATTTGGGGTTTTAGGCTATTTTACTAAGATCAGCAGAGCCTGGAGTTTTAGACTATTTCAGGTAAGGGAATAAGGGGAGAGATGACACCTAATAAAGGCCTGGCTGCTTTAGTAATGAGAATCAGAACCCCTAGGTCACTAGCTCATTAAACCCAAATGGCTATTTTGTGGCTTACATTACGTAAATTCATCATTTCAGTTCAGTCTCGAGATGACGGGCATCTGCATCTAAAATAATTTAAAAATCCTCAAGGTATAACTATTCTCTGATCTGCACGTGGGAGAAAAGCTGAAGACTAAAGAAGAAGGAATCCTGAAACTCCTCACACCTACCGGAAGTACCACTGCATAAGATTGGTTGACGCTTGCTAAAGGGAAGGTGTAAAGGAATCAGTGTCAGTACCCTGGTTATCTGTGGAGACATCAGTCACCAAGACCGTTAACCCAACACTTGGCAGCAGAAAATACAATTAAAAAAAAGACGACAAGAACATACAAATCTGTTCATTCTTTTTGAGCAAAGTGCTTTTAATTCAAAATCTGTGATTTCTAATTAGTGTCCAGGTCATCACAAACCTCCCTGTTGAGCAACGAACAAGTCAGTCCTACAGTCTCATCCGCCAAGTAGCAATGCCGCCTGTCACATCCTCCTAGTCCAAACGAATGTGTGTCCCTCTTCCTGGATTTTTACGAGCTTCCTTAGCAAAGAGCTTAGTGTCATTTCTGTTTCTCTCTCCTTCTGCAGCTGCCTCTCCAGGGACTAGACAGTCCCCAAAAGAGCAAGCAAAACTGAAGGCCGTTCTGAATGCAACTAATTGAGTTTATCCTTGGAAGTTAATTAAATTTCAGCAATTCTAAAGAAATCAAAGCTCCATTTATTTATTTATAGCTTCCTTTATAAAATGTTATAAAATCGATGTCTTTAGGAGATAGCAATATATAACCACACATATTAGGCCCTAGTAAAGCACTATTCCAAATACAAAGCAACTCCTCACTCAAAGAGAAAACTAGCTTCAGGCAAAGACCTGTTCAAAGAGCTAGGCTTTGCATGCTATCTGAAAGTCAGCTCTTTTGAAAACTCAAGGGAAGCAAATCCTAGCACTGCATTCTCTCTACTGAGGGCATTCTGCAACTGGAAACATAAAATTAGGGACCTAACGTTATCATCTGGAGTTCACCAAACAAATCCCAAATCCACCGGCAAATGTAAGCAAAATTCCCTTTGAAGGGACATACGGCAAGACTTTGAGATCCCAACAGTTGAGGAAAAATTAAAATATAATTGTTCACAGATTCTCAAGATCAAGTTAGAGCATGTGATTATTTTGTTTCCTTGCACTATTTCAGAGTGCATCAGAAGCATGTTAGCTTGATATCCAGCACTAGAAACAAAATACCTCTTGGTAATTGCAGGGTAAGTATATTATTGGAAATAAATTATAACACATTTTTGAAAATGAGAAGCTGTGAGGAAAAACTGAACATCCACTGAATGCTGACTCAGATATTTAGACCAGAATTCAGCATCCAAGCTGAGAGTAAAGAAATCAAACCGAAAACTGCAAGATGTTAAAGGAATCGGAAGATGATTTGTCACCATAATTTTGTTCCTGGCTGAACCCATTAATTTTATTTCCCTCATGAAAAGACCTAAACCCACTGTGCTTTATAGAGACACAAGATCCAGGAGAAAAATGATAATATTAGGTCACAACAATAAGTTCTCATTTGGGTTCTACCAAGTTCCTTTTTGAACAGAAACCTAAAGTAGATCAGAGAGAATTTCTCAAATCAAGAATGAAGTAATAATGGTCCTGAAGGATCTTAAACCTTACCATGGCTTACAGAGAATTTATCATTACAATTATGTATGCAACTGCAAAGACAGGTCCAGAATACCTGCATATTGTGAATAAAATCTTAGTAAACTGCCTGTGCTGTGTGCTATCCAGAGATCACACTAAACATTTAATGAAAACCTAATCATTCACAATTTGGCTTTGCTGGATAAATATCACTGGAGTAACACTAAGTCTTGTAAGACGATGACTCATATCTAGCAGGTTTTGAAGGTTCTGAGAACCAATACACAACCCTAGATCTAGATCCAAATGATGAATCTACTTAAAGAGTAAGCCCTCACTCTACCTGATCTTCCGTCTCGTTGAATATCCACGTGATACCACTCTCCATCATTGGCCTTCTTCTGGGTGGCCTTGACTTTAATGGTCCCAGAGCCCATGTCCAGCAGCAAGTAGAGGTTTCCATCTAGAAGCTCAACTGCAAAGAAATCTACCTTTGTATTTTTCTGGCTCCTGACATCTTTCCTCTCTTGAGGTTTGCCATGGGTGAAAAGGATCAGTCCATTAGGTTCAGTGGTTCGGAAATCAAATGAGATGGAGCCCATCCTTTTGGTATTCCATTTAGGCAGACTAATATAGGCCTCAGGTGTCTCAAAGCTGATGGGATCCAGTGTAGCCACGTTCTCACATACGAATTTAACTTCCCCGTAGATCTTCATCTTAGTATCACCAATCCGTGCCAAGCGAGACAGCTCCAGACGAATGTCATTATTCTTATAAACAACCTGCCAGACACAAGGAAAAATATCATACATCAATCCTGCATACAGTACAAATACCCCAATTACTTTCAGCCATGGGAGATAAACTTCTCCCAAAAGGCAGCGGGGAGCAGAAAGGAGACCGTGCGAGAGTCTGACATGATGACAGAGGGAGAGAGCAGTCCAGGAGTGTGTATAGAAATGACAAGAGTGGGTACTTTGCGATGATTATAGATCAGATAAGCAGGCAGAGGAGAACATTTAACTGAAGGACAGTGAGAACAATTAACTCTACCACAGGCCCACTCTGCTGTAAAAGCTTTTGTACATAAAATACAGTGCGTGCCTGGTGTCATGCTGTTATATTTGCATAAATACCATACAAAATACATAACAAAACGTAAACTCCCTATCTGTCTCTGCTAGCCACAGCAGGGAACTCTGCAACACCACTGTCATTTCTCTATTATTCCTATAAGCCCGCTTAACTACTAGGAAAGAGATGCAAAAAAAAAATATAAGCAAGTTGCTGGGAACTGTTGGTGATTGCCCTGTGGCTCCTAAGGGGCTACAAGAAACAGTAAACAAAGGCTTAAAATGTCTCTGACAGAGAAATCTTAGAACACTACAGGCACAAAGTTGCTGTGGAGATATCTGCATAGCTTACCCTTGCTTCAAAAAAAACCTAAGCTCTCTGTGTTAACATACAAAAGCCTGTACACGGTCAGTGCCTGGACTCTTACACTCTCTGGGTTCAGGACCAGAACTGGACTCTGTGTCACTACATGGATGGAAATTAGCCAAGTGAACAGTCCCAAACTGGCAAGCACTTCTGAGCATGCCTGGCTTGCTGCCCTTCTCCTTTTCACTGGTACATAATGAATCTTTGCAAAGAGGACTCCTCTTTGCCCTGTGCCATTCTCACAGAGGCAGGGACTAGGGAAGGCACAGAACTGAAATATTTGTAAACTCTGCTTTCTGGCGACCACCTTCCGCACTTCCTAAACCCAGAATTGGCACGTAAGGTCAGCAAAAGTCTTTCTGCAGCTAGCACAGTTTTGTCTGAATTCACGTTCTGCAACACTATTGAAGGCTCTGATTTCTTCTGAGGAGTTATTTTAAAATGCTTTGTGTCTATTGCATACAGCATATATGCACGCACGCGTTCAGTATCTGCTTTCAGAATGCTGGCAGGATGAGTCGTCAGCAACTTGCTATGAAAAGGGAGGAGGAAGGAGATATGCACTGTTAATTCTACAAATAGGACAAGCAAGTCAGAAAAATGAATCTGCAGTAAATATGAAAAGGCAAACCATGAAGAGAACGAGGGTAAGTTTCTGAAGTAGGTGACCTCAGGATGAAAAACAAAGCAAAGTACAAGCCAACACATTTGTAGCAAGCACAGAATTTCCAGCTTTTGCTAAGCACTGAAGGAGAACTTCCCCAGTGCAGCCAGGAGAGCATAAGATCTTCCTGCTGCAAACACTTAGCACCCTACATCAGAGTGAAAGGAGACTCCAACTGTTAATTCCCATTTAGAGCCCCGGCACAAAGCTGTAGTTCCAGCAGAGGACAGTATTGACCCACAATAGCTCGTTTTGCTCCAATTCCCAACAAAGCGCTCTGCCCTCGCACAGACTTCACAAATACCAAGTCTATTAATATCTGCAACCAAAATAAAATACATTTTCAATTTGTGGGACTGTAGTAGTCTCATACTATGGATTAACCACATCAAACGCTCTCACTAAACAGACCATACACGTCCTTCCTGTGACTCAGCAGGGCCGTCTATTGCAGCCTCCCCCTCTTGCCAGCCAACGAGGGGCAGCTCAGGCAGACAGCAGAGACAAGCAGCAGCTACAGCCGTGTCCAGGGAAGGCAAGAAGCGTGAGAGGTACTCCAGGCACGTGTACTCTGCAGCCACCCGCACTGCCCAAGACTTCTGCACGTACTTTGTGTGTGCAACAAGCCCAGTGCTCTCCACAAACACTACCTCGAAGCATGGCATGCAGTCCTGTTTCCGCATCTGAACAGAGTAGCTGAAGATGAACAGGAAAAGAAATAGAACAACAGGAGGATAGAGCAGGATGTTTTACGAGGATAGCATGAAAAGGCCAGTGCTCTTCTATTTTGGAGAGGACTGAGGAAGAATATGATCGAAGTTCACAGAAGATGGTGGAGAAGGTCAATGTAGAACTGCTCTTTTCCAAATCCAGCAATAAAAGAATTAAAGGCACTCATTGAAACTTGTAGGACATCTGTTTAGAATGGATGTTTAGAGGTATTTATTTACACAGAGGGTAGTGAACTTCTAGGACTTGCTACCACAGGAGTTGTGGAGATAGAGAGCATCTGCAGGCTCAAAAAGAAACAGAAAGATAAACAGAGAACAGATCCACAAACTGGATTTAAAGGGAAAAGGAAGGGACAGACCTTCTAATAATCCTAATCCAAAAGCAGTCATAGAATCACAGACTGGTTTGGGTTGGAAGGGCCCTTAAAGATCATCTAGTTCCAACCCCCCTGCCATGGGCAGGGACACCTTCCACTAGACCAGGTTGCTCAAAGCCTCATCCCGCCTGGCCTTGAACACTTCCAGGGATGGGGCATCCACAGCTTCTCTGGGCAACCTGTTCCAGGGCCTCACCACCCTCCCTGGGAAGAACTTCTTCCTGAGATCTAATCTAAACCTCCTCACTTTCAGTTTAAACCCATTACCCCTTGCCCTGTCACTACAGGCCCTTGTAAAAAGTCCCCCCCAGCTTCCTTGTAGCCCCCTTCAGGTCCTGGAAGGTGCTATAAGGTCTCCCCGGAGCCTTCTCTTCTCCAGGCTGAACAAGCCCAACTCTCTCAGCCTGTCCCCATAGCAGAGGGGCTCCAGCCCTCGGAGCATCTTCGTGGCCTCCTCTGGACTCGCTCCAACTGGTCTATAACCTTCTGATGTTGAGGGCTCCACAGCTGGACGCAGCACCCCAGGTGGGGTCTCAAAAGAGCAGTTGATACTGTGGGAGTAAAAGAGGGGATGCACCACTGACAGTAGTCATGCACACATGTTCTCCCTACATAGAACCTGCAACTACAGCTAATGGAGGCAGAATACTGGGTAAATGGATTGAGTTTTTCAGGCCCACCACGGTTTTTCTTACGTTCTTAATGAACCTATGTGTGTAGTAGGTTGTGCGCAGTCTACTCCTTCTCCCACTTCAGGGGCAGCCTGGAAAAGAGGATAGTTGGAAAAATTGGAAATAGGTTGCAGAGTCCTTTTGACAGTACTTAGATATGGGACCCTCTGACTGGCACAACTTCAGCGCTGGGTGATGTCTACAACTCAACCTTTTTTCAGCAACCTCTGCAGGTTGTTGGCAGAAGGAATAGGCTCACATACACATAAGCAGCTTCCAGCTCTCAGATGAGCCACATACAGACTACACCTCTCTTTTTCATGTATTTTCTACTTGCATAACAATTCCTATTTCTTCTGGGAAACACAGATGGGCTGCCTCTGGATTTATTTGGGGCTTGCTGCAGACTGCCTTTTATTTCATTAGTCATACCAGTACCACAGCTGGAGAATCCTTGAGACAGAAGACTTTCAAAGGAACTAGAGAAAATTATATGGACTTAGTTGCAACCCTGAAAGTCACTAACAATGGTCGATCTGAGAGCAAGTTTGGAAGAAAGGACCAACAATGAAGGCACAAAGGAAGACTTGGAGAAGAGAGGAAAAAGGGTGTTAAATATATACAAGGATGACAAGAGCAACAACTTTGATCTTTCCAAAGAAACGGATCCACCCTGATCTGAATCTCTCTTACTGAAGTGTTTGCCATTCTGCATAATTTTCTTATAAAAAACCCCAAACCCACAACCTAACTTGAGAAATTTAAAAAACCACCTGTGTTGAAGGAAAAAGTGCAAGCCTGTTCACATAATGGACTTGAGATATCACTGACAGCCATACCTGGACATCAAGACCTTGATATATAATCAGATGCACCAGAACTCTCATTACTATACACCAAAGGATAAAGATAACCCTTGGGTGTAAACTCAGGTGAATCCTGAGCAGGAACAGAGAGACAACAGCATCTCTGGCTTGAGCATGAAACACTGCCTTACAGCTTCTGATATCTGCAGTTCAACTGTTAAACCAAGGGTTCAAGAATGAGAAAAGAGAATGTAATTAAAGGACTGGAATGCATGTCCCATAGTGAAAAACATTCAAATTCAGTCTGTTTAATAGGTAGAGGGTAAAAGGTGATTCGATACAATCTATGAGTACCTGTGCAGAAAATGGAATTTGGCAATAGAGGGCTCTTCAATCCATGTGACAAAGGAAATAATGGGATCCAGGGGCTAGAAACTGAAGTTAGAGAAATTCACATTTTAAAATATTATGACTTATTTTTTACAGGAGGGTAATTTGCTACTGAAATAATTTACTACAGGTTATGGTGTGTTCTCTGCTACTGGCAAACTTTAAATTAAAGTAGTATCTTGTTTTCTCTAAAAGACATAGCGAGACAGGAATTAATTATATAGCAAATCAGTCTAGATTATCATAATGGCGCTTTCTGGCCTCATAACCTATGAATCTTTGTGTTTTAATGAAATCAACAGATGCTTCAGTGCAATTTTCCAGGACAGATGAAACATATCCTTCCCAAATGTTAAAACTGCCCGGTAAAGGAGAAGATGCTTGTGTGTGACTTGCCATCAGTGCTCTCACTGAGGCTTTTTTATACTTTTGTGATCCTACCTTGCAGCCTACCATTAGAAAGGAATGCAAGTAGAAAGCCTCAACAAGCAACTTGATTCTGTATCTCTGAATACATGAGATTCAAGAACTAGTTTCTCAGAGAGTCATATGCTGCAAGCCAGAGAAGGAAAATGTTCATGAGAAACCTCTACCAGTAGAATTAACCTATCATCTGCCTAACAGTTCCTACCTTGTCTTCTCATTTTACCAGCAAACTCTGAAGTTGAGGGCTTTTCAGGAGAGATCAAAATACTGACTGAAACCCACACCTCTTTAACTCCAAATGAGCCCATGACTAGGAGAGCTGTCCCCTCACTACGACATAGCCTTCTAGTGCCACTCTGGGACACGGCTTCCATAACAACACACAAGCTAATCGATGAAAAAAGTGCCCATGATTTTGTCCATTTTTATCTGAGGGCTTTCTGATTAAAGCTGATCTTGCCTGCTCAAGCAGAGACCAGCTTAATTTCGTCCCATATCTGATATCTATATCAGAGAGGGTCAAGATGCTTAGAGAGTCAAGGAAGCAATTCCTGGGGGCAACACAAACATCTACTTTACAGTTATCCTTGGAAGGAAGGCAGAAGAGACAAAGAGGAAGAAAATGACTAGCAAAAGCCATCCGAAAGTAAACTTCATGCTTCCAATCTTAATACTCCAAAAATGAGATTGGAGTAACAAAAGCATTTTTCCTTTTCAATGAGGACTGCTTCTGAATGCGCTTTAACAGAGGAATATTTTTACTGTTCAATCTGTCGTTAATGAATTGGACCGGTATAAATGTATGGTCAGGGTTGGGGTAGTCCAGATACACAGAGTCTCTGATAATCAGCAGTACAATTCCTTGACATCTGAGACATCTGGGGGGATAAAGAGATAGACAGTAATTTAGGTTTCCTTTAAATCTGCTGAGAAAGAAGAGTTTGTTTTAAGCTGAGCTAAAACAAATTGGCAATCTAGTTTTGAGGTTCCTTAAAAATGGTAACTTTGCAGTTCTGAAACATTCAAGGAATTTCTCCAGCTAAACTTACAAGAAGCTTCACTCACGGGTTAATGAGAGCTCTAATCAGATGGCTTTTCAAAATGATGAAAAGCGTCTCTCTGCAATCAAGTGAAGATACAGATAGAGAGGGAGCAACAAAAGTGAGGAAAAATGATGTGCTAGACTTGGCCAGTAGCCAATAAAAAAATTTATCTCCAAGTTGGTGCTATCAAGCAGGAAACATGGCTTTTGGTGCAGGCTGGTCACAGTCATGCTTCAAAGGGGAAAGGCCGCTGGTAGCCTAGTGAATTAGAATTTTTCATGAACCATCATGAAAAAGAGCAATAACCTGAAGGCTCCCTAAGTTTAGCTAACTCGTAAAAGCACCTCTGAAGTTCAGTCAGGTTGCTCACCTACTGCATCCTATGTATCACCAACTGCTTTTTTTCTGTCACAGGCTTCCCCCTTCACCAACTGCCTATATTGCTTCTAAGGGCAACGCACTGTGAGACGCTCAGCCTAGAGCCTAACACTTCCTTAAAGGCACCTGCACCAAACAAGACAAGCTCTGCAGCTAATAAATTACAGCTTATCAACTGGTTTACCACAACTGTATGTTTCGAGCCTGCCCTGACCAGCAAGAAGAAAAAAACCCACACCAGCTAACAATGCTTTACCATGTAGGCAGCGATCCAAGGCTTCAGTGACGGGTAACTAAAGCTGCTATACTTATTTAAAGAACTGCATGTGTGCTGTGCATACCTGGTCTAAACATATTTGATGGTTCACTGGGTAACAACCGTGTTCAGGTATTTACATAAACATGATCACCATTCACCATACTGCAGGAGTTAATTTACCTGTCAAGAAAAACAATACAAACCACTGATGGAAGCAAGTGAAACCAAACAAATGCATGAACAAAGAGCTCCTGGACAATCTCAAACATACAAAAAAAGAAGCCTACAGAGGGTGGAAGCAAGGACAAGTGGCCTAGGAGGAATCGTCCAAGCAGCCAGGGATCAGGTGAGGAAAGCTAAAGCCCTGGTAGAATTAAATCTGGCCAGGGATGGCAAGGGCAACAAGAAAAGCTTCTCTATGTTGGTTGGTGACAAAAGGAAGACTAGGGAAAATGTGGGCCTTCTCCAGAAGTAAACAGGAGACCTGGTTACCTGAGATATGAAGAAGGCCAAGGTACTCAACTACTCTTCTGCCTCAGTCTTTACCAGCAACTGCTCAAGCCACACACCCAAGTCACAAAAGGTAAAGGCAAGGACTAGGAGAACAAGGAACCACCCACTGTAGGAGAAGATCAGGTGCAACACCATCTAAGGAACATGAAAGTGCACAACTCCACAGGACCTGATGAGATGCATCCACAGGATCTGAGGGAAATGGCAGATGAAGTTGCTAAGCCACTATCAAACATATTTGAGAAGTCGCTGCAGGCCGGTGAAGTTCCTACTGACTAGAAAAGGGGAAACATAACACCCATTTTTAAAGAAATGAAAAAAGGAAGACCTGAGGAACTACAGGGCATTTGGATCCTCCTAGAAACTATGCTAAGGCATATGGAAAATAAAGAGATGTTTGGTGACAGCCAACATGGCTTCACTAAGGGAAAATTGTGCATGACAAATTTGGTGGCCTTCTATGACAGAGTTAGAGTGTTGGTAGGTAAGGGAAGAGCAACCAACATCATCCACCTGGACTTGTGCAAAGCATTTGACATTGTCCACATGACATCCTTGTTCTAAATTGGAGAGGTAGAGATTTGATGGGTGGACCACTTGGTGGATAAGGAATTAGCTGGGTGGTCACACTCACAAAGTTGCAGTCAACGACTCAATTTCCAAATGGTGACTAGTGACAAGTGACATTCCTTAGGGGTCGGTATTGGGAATTGTGCTATTTAACATCTTTGGTGGAAAGACGGATAGTGGGATCAAGTGCACCCTCAGCAAGTTTGCCAACAACACCAAGCTGTGTTGTGCAGTCGACACACTGGAGGGAAGAGATGCCATCAGAGATACCCTGACAGACTTGAGAGGTGGGCCCATGCAAACCTCATCAAGGTCAACAAGGCCAAGCGCAAGGTCCTGAAGTGTCCCAAGCACAAGTACAGGCTGGACAGAAAATGGACTGAGCACAGCCCTGAGGAGCAGGACTTGGGGGTGTTGGGTGATGAGAAGCTCAGCATCATCTGGTAATTTGCACCTGCAGCCCAGAAAGCCAACCGTATCCTGGGCTTCACTAAAAGAAGTGTGGCCAACAGGTCAAGGGAGGGGACTCTCCCCCTCTTCTCCACTCTCATGAGACCCTGCCTGGAATACCGAATCCATCTCTGGGGCCCTCAACATAAGAAGGATATCAACCAGTTGGAGCTAGTCCAGAGTAGGACACAAAGATGATCAGAGGGCTGGAGCACCTTCTTCTGTGGAGACAGGCTGAGAGATGGGCTTGTTCAGCC